TTTTGTTTTTGTTTTTTTTTTTGTCTTTTTGAGAGTCTTGCTATGCAGTTCAGGCTGGCCTTGAGCTCACTTTGTAGCCCAGGCTGCCCTTGAACTCACCATCCTCCGGCCTCAGCCTCCCAAGTGCTGGGATTATAGGTGTGCCCCACCAGGCGTGGCCTGAAGGCCTGGTTTTAATCCCCAGTACCACCCCCTAAAAAAATTATTGTATAGGTTGTCTTTTTATTGATTATGTCCTTTATGAAGAATTGTTTTTTCCCCCTTGACAGAAACATACATTCATTTTATTCACAAAACAGCCTGTCTTCCTCAAATGATACAAATAGCTCATCCATCAGTAAACTGAGGTTTGTGTGCCCAGGCCACAGGGGGTGCCCTGGATACGCACTCTCGCCAGCTAAGGGCCATACAAAGAAGAAGCGGTCTCAGAAATACTGAGACATAGGCTCCCTAGGTCTGAGCTGAAGAACAGAACTTTTATTTTTTCCAAGGTCGTTACTGTTGGGGTGCGGGATCTCAGTCTGCTGTCTGTAGGTGCCGCGTGCTGCGTAGGCCTAAGGCTGAGTGGTTTGCTCGCTCCATTCGCTCTCTGTGAGCTCTGTGTCTGAGGCAGCACTGCTTGCTTTCAAACAGGGCCACTCGGTATTCTCTGAGTGGATCCTCCAGGCAAGCTGCAAGGTGGGGTGGTTGGAAAGAGTCAAAAGAGGTTTAAGTGAGGGTGGCGTTAATCTGTCATGCACAGGAGTGTTGTGTGTGTATGTGAGAGAAAGAGAGATTGATTCTGGGGATTAAAGATGGGATCTTACACATGCTAGGGACTCAACCACTGAGTTACATACTTAGCTCTTTTAATTTTTTAGTAGTACTGGGGATTGAATCCAGGGCCTTCACACTGAGCTACACCCCTAGCCCTTTTTTATTTTGAGACAGGGTTTTACTTAGTTGCTCAGTTGTCCAGGCTGAGCTGGAACTTGGGATCCTCCTGCCTCAGCCTCCAGACCAGCCGGGATTGCAGGCATGCACCATTGTGCCCGGCTTGCACACATTTTCTTCGTCACACACTTTCATCTTCTGTCACATACGGTGACTCCTATGTCACTCATGCTCTCCCGTGGTGATACCTGGCCATCAGCTCCTCCCTCGCCCTCTCTCTCCCTGCCACCCGCCCATCTCCTGCCTGTGCTGTTACCGCCCCTTGTGACCCCACCTGTTCACACTCTCACCTGCTGGCTAGCTTTTATTTTCCTTGCCATCCTCTTGCTTTCTGCCACCCCACCTGTGTCACTCTGCCGTCCTCCCCACTCTGTCCCTTGTTGCCCCTTCCCCCTTCTTGGTCACTCTCGGTCTCCACGTGTGCCTCTCTATCTTCCATTCTCCCTCTGTTCCCCGCCGTTTCCCACCCGTTTCCCCCTCTCTCACTGTATCAT